CAATAGAATAGCAGCATTCGGTTTACCTTAACTTTAGCCAAGTGCTGCATTCCTTTAGCGATATCAAGGCTAATGTTTAATTTCTCGCTTTCAGCGAGAGAGCAGACATACTCCCCATCCACCGTTGTCACGTGATCTTGCAGGTAATCAATGAGACTCCCCTTCTCGGCAAATTCAAGTACAATCATGAGTGGACCTATCAATGAAAGGGTATTTACATGAATGTTCTCGCTTAAAGTGAAGATGGTTAGGCCACTATCTACTCTCAGTCGAAAGAAGTGCTGTCAGGTGTTTCATGAAGCTAAGAGTACACACGCAGAGGTTAAAGAAATGGTGGAAAAGAGCAGCTTTTATGTCCATTCGCGACAACAGTTTAGTCCCCGATTGTACAATTGGCCAGATAATACCAGCTCAATTCATCAAGGTGCTTATTTGAATAAGATAGTAAAATAACGTATTTACCGTTACATGTACAAGCACCAATCAGATTCACTAGGTTGTCATGACGACCAACGCTGTCCATGGTGTTCAACTCTTGATACAGATCTCTTTGATCCTCCTCGCTTGCTATTTCTGGTGTAAACAAAATGGAAAAAAGATAGTTAAGTGATAGCCGAGAAATACTTTTTTAACTCGCTCGATCGCATCAGGATACTTGTATTGTTACGATTGTCACACATATATTAGTTGAATTATTTTTGCTAACTTCCTGTGTGAAAATCATGACTATACAAGCATGGTGATGCAACTAGAAAGCGAGCGAGTTAAAAAAACGTCAAGTTTTGCTGGCCTATTAGCATAATTAATAGAGGGAAGTGGTTTGGAAACCTTTTGTTGTACTTCAATTTGCACGATGGGCGACCCATAAGATAAAACTACCAGAATGCATTTCCCACTTTTTGGTAATGTAATTAGTGTTCGCTGTTTTACTAATCTCAAAAGGGAATAAAAAAAGTAAACAAATACGTAGAGCATTCTGGTAGTTTTAGTAAACTGACGTCATAGTGCAAGTTGCTTATGAAATACTTACTTTGTAGCATCGTAACTGCGCAGGTCATGACGCCATTTTCAACACGTAGCTGTGCTTTTTGCACCATTCCAAAGGCACCAGAGCCTAACTCTTCTTGAAGTTGAAGAGATTCCCGCGGGATTTCCCACCATTTGCCGGGCATCATTCCAAAGGACTCCAAATCATGATTAACAGTTGAAAGGGAAAAAGCCTCATTTTTAAAGGAGTACAGTTTGACTTTTTGCGCCTGAAATTAGAAAATCATTTTACCGAGYCGCTCAAWCRCAGAGGAACTGATTAATCAGGATAAAAATTAATTACGTTTTCTTTGATTAAAAGTTATCGACCTGAGTTGTCGAAACGACTGCAGCAGTATCTCTCAAGGTTCCTTACAAAATATCAAGAGGGTCGGATACAGGGGGGAGGGGTCTATAGGTGCATTTGACAACATCTAACGCAGCAAATATTATGTCATTTTAAACCAAAATATTGCACTTATTATGATAGAATGATTTAATGTGCAGTAATAAAATATGTACGCCAATGACAGAATCGTGTTATTTGAAAAAAACGAATCACTAGTCTTCATTACAGTTTATTTATATAATACATTTCTGAACTTTGGGACCCCTCTTCGACAAATTTCTGGATCCGACCCTGATGATCATCACCATGTCAACTGACGACTATTCTTTGAGTATCACTGAATTGACTTACATGTGTCATTGGTTTGTTTGGATTCTTATCATAATAGTTGTCGTTTCTTCTTGTCTTTCGATAACAAATCACAATCCCAGCGATCACAAGAATAACACACAAAGGCAGGAATACCCACGGCCACATTAACGATGTTCTGTAATCTGCCGAAATAAACCATGTGTTGTTAAAATTGAACTGTTCACCCACTAGAATATTATCAACCAATCAATGAAGCTGCGATCTCCCTTTTTAATGGCTAATTGATCAATGTTCGTCTCGCTTCGATGCAAAGGCACGTCTACCTTTCAAGATGCCGCAGGTAACCGTGAAGGTGACTATTGAGCATAATTGGGCATATCCACAACGATTAAGGGGACCATATAGACGGGGCAAACCTTAACTTCTATGCATTTTTCTCTCTAGGGTCTCTGAAAAGATCTAGCACTCTCAGTTAACGTCATATCAATAAAATTTTTTGAGTGCGTTTCTACAAATTGTCGTT